CATAAAATAAATGGGTATTTTTTTTTTTTTTTTTTTTTTTTACTACATCAGCGGAGCCAGCTTTAGTTATTTTAGTATCATTGATATACTATTATAGCCTTTGTTTACATTTTTAATTATATTTTATTTTAATTTTTTTCACTTTAATCTTAAAATCTAGTAATTTTGTTGTACGCTTTTGTCATTTTTATTTTATTTTTTTAAATATATCTATATTTTTTTGTATTAGTTTTAATTTAATTTTATATTTATATTTTTCTGTTTTCATTTTGTTGTATGTTTTTGTAATTATTGTTTAAAAAAACGTCTATATAGTTTTTATTATTTTTTTAGTTTTGATTTTATTGTAGTACTTCAATTTAAAATAAATAAAAATGAGAATGTTTTTTTTAATTTCATTTTATTTTAGTTAACTTTTTAATTATATTTTACTTTTAGATTTTCTGTTTTTACTTGAATTTTAGTTAAAGTTGTAGCAATTTTGTTGTATGTTTTTGTATTTTTTTTAAATGTCTATAGTTTTTTTTAATATTTTGAGTTAACTTTTTATTTCAAGTAACAAAATGTTTTTTTTTTTTTGATGGCTTCAGTTTTAACTAATAAATCTGTGCACTTGTGCTGTTGTTGTACTAAACAGCACACCCTGCTGGTTTTCACGTTTAATGCAGACTGACAGTGAGAATGTTTTGTCCCTCTCTCAGTATATTCTTGTTTTCTGAAATACATCAGATTAATGACACTGAAAAATACTTGCTCTGTTTTTGCCTTCTGAATACTGCTGAAGTTTGATTTTAGACTGCAGCTCAGCAAATATCTGTGTCTGTGTGTGTGTGTGTGTGTGTGTGTGTGTGTGTGTTATAGACACTGTTGGACGGCTGCTGCAGCGGGTCAATCCTTACGATCGGAGAAGACGGTCAGTTCCATCTGGATGCCGAATCCACTGTGGTGCTGCAAGATCTCAGACTGCTTTCTGAAATACTGCTGGACTGGAAGATATGGGCCAAAGCACAGGTACACACTCACATCTGAATGAGAACATACCATAGAGTTATTTTTATGGAGAGCTTATTGTAGTGTGTGTGTGTGTGTGTGATAGTGTGGCGTGTGGGAGACGCTGCTGACCGCTTTAGAGATCCTCATCCGGGTGCATCATCCTCAGCAGATGTTCAACATACGACAGCTTCTCAAGGCGCAGGTGGTTCATCGCTTCCTGCTCGCCTGCCAGGTGCTTCAGGTAAGATGTTCATTACACTTCGAAAAATGTCAGTAAAACAACGTCATATTTCCCTCATTTCCTGCCATTCAGTGTCCATAAACGCTAGAAAAAATAAGTCTGGAGAGACGCATTTTACTAAATATATGCTCTATATTTTTCTTAAACTATATAAAACTGCCTTATATGCAATTTAAATTTTTATATACATTTTTTATTTAAGTTTTAATGGATTATTTTTATTTTTTTTAATGTTGATTGATTTTTAAATACATTGATTAATTAGTTGATTATTAAATAAAGTAAAACTTTTCGGTTTTCTGCTGAATGAAAACTTTCAGTTTTCGGTGTTTCAATAAAAAAGTGATTTCAGCACATCATTAGAAACATCATAGAGAAAGAGTATGAAACATACAACCAAGTGCCATTCACGATGTAATTAATGCAGGAAAGAAGACCAATCATAGTTCACTGTGTGGCTCATTTTGGAACATCATCTTTATTATTCTCATAGGAGCATCGGGATGAGTACCTGACCTCCATCCCACAGGAGGTCTGCCTCTCGTTTGTCAAAATCATCCAGGAGGTTTTGGGGTCTCCTCCAGACCTGGACCTGCTGCGGCTGGTCTATAATTTCCTGCTGGCTGTTCACCCCCCCACCAACACTTACGTCTGCCACACGCCCACCAGCTTCTACTTCTCTCTGCACATCGGTGAGCAAACCTTCAGAAAACCCCGATCTGATCAGAATGAGTCATTAAAGCAATAGTTTATGATCATTCTGTCATCATTTGCACTTTTCCAAACCTGTATGACTTAATTTCTTCTGTGGAACACAAAAGAAGATGATTAGCAGAATGTTCATGCTGCTTTTGCCTTCTTGATCCACAGAAGAAGAAAAATTATACAGGTTTTGAGACGGAGAAATCTTTTTTGACCTTAACTCAGGGTTTCCGCGGGTCCTTAAAAAGTCTTAAATTTAGTTTTATCAATTTTAAGGCCATAAAAAGTCTTAAATAGTACAAGAAAGTCTTAATTAGGATTTCAAGAGGTCTTAAATTTGGGGACGGAAAGACCAGAATTGCGATTTGCCTTAATGTGCCGATTAACTTCAAAAGGTGATGTTTCTGGCCTTCTTAAATTTAAATCAGATAACATTTCTAACCATATTTATAAGCATTTATAGCAATGCTGATAGTATTTTGACAGTCAAAAGGGAAAAATTGCATAGATCATGTTTATGTCAAGAGATTTCTGACAAGCAGGTTAACCTGCTTTATTTTCATTTTATGGTTGCAGTAGTCTAGCATCGAGCTTACAGCTCATTCTTCCTCATTAGTAATCATTCTTTCTGCATATCCTGTGTAGATTTGATAGTAAACAAGAACATTTTAGTTCATGCAACTTTTTTTTTAATCAGATGGTAAGCTGTACCAGGAGAAGGTTCAGTCCATGATGTACCTGCGGCACTCCAGCAGTGGAGGGAAATCAGCCTGCAGCTCTGTGCTTTCACTGTCTCCCACCGTCTTCACAGAGACGCCCGCTGAAGGTAACGCATCACTGCCGCCCATGAGAAGGTCAAAATAAAAAAAAAGTCATGCTTACTCATTCTGTTGCACTTTACAAGCATTATTCGTTGAAAATGTCCTTGTCTGACTGGATGCCACTGCTGCGCCTTATTAAGCTTTGAAACACGTGACCTTTGACGAATACAAATCAATAACAGTGCTGACCTGCCTGTCAAGTCAAATCAAATTCATTCATATAGTGGTTTTCACAATACGCTTCATTTGAAAGCAGCTTTAGAGAAAATCATGATTTTAATGTTTATATTATCTTATCTTCATGCCTTATAAGCCAGGCTTCCTTCCAAGGATTTGTTTGGGAGGGAAGGCTTAGTGCACCAGATTTTACCGAAATAGCTGATGGAAATGCCGTTTATTGATGCAATTTCTCAAGAGTATAAGTCTTTTTTTTGTTTAGCTTTAGTGCATAAATTCTATGTTGATACTTAAAATGTCACAAAAACTAGTCTGGAAACACTTATTGTCAAATCTGAACACGAAAAACTTGTCATTGTCAAACTTGTCCTGAAAACGTAGATTCTGACTAAATGTTGTGTTTTTTGGTCCCACAGTACGCCACGCTTCGTCCCCCGAGCATGGAGATGAAGATCTGTCACTGCGTCCCCCAAGCATGGGCCCGTCTCCACACTCTTCTCCAGCCCTGATGCCCCGTCTGGCCCATGGGAGCGTGACGGGGACCGCCGAGCCTGAAGAAGGGACGTCCCTGAGTACCCAGCAGGACCTGGGCAGCACGGAGACCTTGAAGCGAGGAGGAGACGAGCTCCTTAGCAGCTGTGAGTCTGCAAAGACCATTTGTGATTCCCAGAACGTGGGCGGTGATGAGGAGGGCAGCGTCGCGGGAAACCAAACGCCATTCATCAACGTAGAGGAGGAGCACGACAGCAGCCCGCCGGACTCTGAGGACCATTTCGATTGGACCAGCGAGGAAGTGCCACGCCGGCCAGACAGCCTGAAGGGAATCCAGTCCTTCCAGAGGAGCCACAGTAACCTGGCCAGTCTGGGTTTGGCTTTTCCCGCACAGAACGGCTCTCTGACTATTGCTCGCTGGCCCACCGTGGCTGACCGTGCCGCTCCACCGGACGACTGGGAAAGTTACACCTACTCACCCGGGTATGACAGACACAGCAAGGCGGACTCCAGTAATGACAGGTACTCTGAAAACACCAGATGATTTTATATTGTTGAAAACCCTAGCATTTTGAATGCGGAGGTGAAAACATTTTAGCCAGCATATTAAACATGATAAAACTGAAGTAGCGAAATAGCTTTTCTTCTGGATTGTGATGTATATCCGAGTGTAACGGATTATCGAGAAAGAAAAATGTAGGGCTGTCCCTAGGGATATGCCGGTATCAAATTTTCATGTTGCAATTAATTGCTTATGCTTTTATCACGGTATATGGTATTATCACGATATTGAAATTTAGTTTTTTTAAAAAGTGCTGTCATAATACAGTATAACAGGTTTAATAACTTTTTTCTTATAACAAAAATAACTGAACATTTAAATGCAATAAAGCAATACAGAAAAATGTATAAAGTTAAAAGTTTTACACAGATTAAAGTGCAAAAGAACTATAAAGACCAATAGGTATCACTTTACAATAAGACCTCATTAGTTAACCTTAGTTAATGCATTAACATTCACAATGAGCAATAGCTACATTTCAGAAACAGAAAGTAGTGCAGCTGCTTTGCTTACAGGGTTTCCAGGGTAACAGCTGCATTTCTGCAGTTTCTGCAGTTTTTCTGCAGTCAGAGAGTGAAAGTGCGCTTTCATCCAGAGCGTCTCTCACTTTGTTGCGCTTGTTGCGCCTCGTCCGCGCTTATTTACATCAGAGTGAGCACGCGTCTTTCACGCAGCATGCAGCGGTGTTGTGCATTTTGACCAGTTGATGGGAAAAGTATTCTTAAAATGCATTCAAAATTCAGAATAATTTGTCATATATAATTATTCACGGTATTTAGAAGTGCCCACGATAACAATATCGTGCATATTCATCACCGTGATATATCGCATTACCGAATACCGGCACATGTCTAGCTGTACCTCAGTTCTGTGCATTGTTCGTTGATTGGATGTTGAGATGTGGGTGGAGTTTAATCACATTAGATGATTTAAGAAGAAAATGTCTCATAATGTAGTGTATCTGTGAAAAGTAGGCATTTACAGTAAAATCATGCAAAATAGTTTCATGCACATTTACTTTTTTGTATGGAGCTGTCTCCAGTAAGAAAAACCATTTTGACTGTAGGACAGCCCTGGAAATGGTAGAGTCCCTAGGTAGTGTGCGTACTACTGAACTAGGGAGCGAATTGAGACACCTCAGAATCGTTTAGCCTTTCTCAAATGCGTTGCATGGTGTGTGTGTGTGTGTGTGTGTGTGTGTGTGTGTGTGTGTGTGTAGTTGTTCTAGATGTGTGTAATATATCCAGGGAGCTCTTTTAAATTCCTTGTGATGAATAACACTCTTTAATTATGCTAATTTCTGCCGCTGAGTTTTGGAGATTAATGACTTGTAATATTAGCCTTCATTTATAAGTTACATCATCTCTTTAATGTGCTCTTTCAGTCAACAGTCACTGGGTAATTGCCTCCTGTCTTCGCCATTGCCTTTCCTGCACTAAAGATATATCCCATCTACTGAATAATCACTTACACTCATTAAAAGTTAACGACTTTAACGCTAAACTCCAATCCACAAACCATATTTCGGCCTTACAGATGTGTCTGAGCTGTCATTAGGGCTCTTGTTGGGAAACACTTTGCTTCTTTTTTATCCAATTCTAACAATGCCGTCTATCAAATATTGATTTCCCTTTTGTTTATACTGTTATCACAGTATGAGTAATTTTATATCATGATAACATTGTAGTTATTTTTGTGACAATTCGGTAATAAAAAAAAAAGGTTTGTATTTTGCGTGCTGAGTGTTTTTCGGTTAACAGGCTCTGAGTCACCGCTGAAGATCTGACGCTTCTCCACTCCTCAGTGATGATTTCATGTGTGTGTTTTCTGAATCATTCAGGTCCAGTGCTGAAGACTGTCTGGTTCTGATCTGCTGCGGTCTGTACGATCTGCTGAGAGGAGTTCTGCTCCTGCTGCCGGACCTCCTGCTGGAGGAGGTGATGGACAAACTCATCCAGCCGGAGGCTCTTCTCGTCCTGGTCAACCACTCTTCTCCTCTCATTCAGCAGGGCGTCATGAAGGTCCGCTTGCATTCAGCTGTCTTTGGGTAGTTGACAAATGAACATGGCTGTTTTTCAGCCCTCACTAGTTCATTTTAAAGGTCTTGCAGCATGACAGAAGTATTTAAAAAAAAGAAATATGCCACATGAGCTCATGAAAACTGCATGCAAAATACTTATAAACATTTAAAAATGCTGTGTAAATTGGTTTTAGATCACGCGTTTCAATTAAACTGTTAGACTCCCATGTACTGCATCCACACAAATTTATTTTATGCTTATTAATGTGGAAAATCTCTTTCTATAATGTGGACAGGACTGAATCAATGAACATGAATCATGCTTCCACATAAATATTATGTATTTAATAGAATTAAAACTCTCCCTCTTCTTTTTTTTTTCTCTATTTTTAGGGGAATATATAAATTCATGATCAGTTGTTTTTGAAAATAGCCCCTATTCGATAATGTAAATAATATTTCTATTAACATTCTGTATTTCACACAGTTTATCATTAGGATCATCACACTTGCACTGCAGGGCAATTTTTACATTTTGTCCTTGAAATTTCTAAGAATTAAAAAACAATTTAAGTAAATAATTTGTTTATGGACAAATTCGGAAAATATAAGATACACTATTTCCTTTAGGACTGTAAAATGACTGGCCTTTCACTGTTTCTCCATTACTGTTTATCACATCTGCTGCTTTGGTTTGTTTGATATGGAAATAGTTTGTTAGTTGATTGACCAGTTTTATTGATCTCTCTGATAGATGGGAGATTGAGTAAGGGGTTTTATTTATTTATTTTTATGTCTTCTCTCATACATGCATGGATACACAAAACATGTACATTTATTTTTGTAGCTTCTGGATGCCTACTTCAGCCGCGCTCAGAAAGAGCAGAAGGAGAAGTTCCTGAAGAATCATGGGTTTTCGCTGCTGGCCAATCAGCTGTACCTGCACCAGGGCTCACAGGGTCTGCTGGAGTGTTTCCTGGAAATGCTGTTCGGACGACCGGTCGGATTTGAGGAAGAGTGAGTTTGCCAGCCATCTAGAACTGAAGACATGACCATGAGTGCTGACAGCCTGATAAGATGCCAGCTATAAATGTTTATTTTATTTTATTACTGGAAATGCACGACCGGTCGGATTTGAGGAAGAGTGAGTTTGCCAGCCATCTAGAACTGAAGACATGACACATGACCCTGACAGCCTGATAAGATGCCAGCTATAAATGTTTATTTTATTTTATT